ATATATATATATATATATATATATACATATATATATATATATATATATATACATATATATATATATATATGCGGTGTACAGGCACCTCAAGGTTTTGCTGTCTCTCTTGGTTGCTGCGCAGCCCCGCAACAACAACGCATGCATAAGGGTTTTCTTTGCCTTTCTCCATTTTCCCTATATACAGACAAGAGACAAACCCTAAACCCTAAACCCTAAACCCTAAACCCTAAACCCTAAACCCTAAATTTGTTTTATGCATACGTAGAGTATGTATTGATAAATATACTGGAGACAGAGAGAAGAGAAAAAGAAACAAAAGAAAAAGAAAGGAGACAAAGAAAAACACACAGGAGACAAAAGGAGGAGACAGCTGAAAGGAGGCAGCAGACAAAAATAAGTGAAACCAAACAAAGCCAAAGGGAGACAAAAGGAGACAAAAGGAGACAAACCAAATAAGCAAAACAAACAAAAAGAACAAAAAAGAATAAAAAAGGAGACAAAAGGTACCGGCAAACTTTCTCCCCCCGCCTAGTTTAGTTAAATACTGTTCTAAGAGAAGTCAAACAAAACCAAACAAAACCAAAATAAACCAAATCAAACCAAAATAAACCAAAAGGAGACAAACGGAGACAAACGGAGACAAACAAAAGAAGCAAAACAAACAAAAAACAACAAAAAATAAAAAAATACCGGCAAACTTTCTCCCTCCTCCTAGTTTAGTGAGATACTGTTCTAAGAGGTCAAACAAAACCAAACAAAGCCAAAATAAACCAAACCAAGCCAAACCAAGCCAAAAGGAGCCAAAAGGAGACAAAAGGAGACAAAAGGAGACAAAACAAAGAACAAAAAAGAATAAAAAAGAATAAAAAAGAAAGGTACCGGCAAACTTTCTCCCCCCTCCTAACTTAGTTAAATACTGTTCTAGGAGGTCAAACAAAACCAAACAAAGCCAAACCAAAACCAAAAGGAGACAAACCAAGCCAAAAGGAGACAAAAGGAGACAAAAGGAGACAAACCAAATAAGCAAAACAAACCAAAAAGAATAAAAAAGAATAAAAAAAATAAAAAAGGTACCGGCAAACCTTCTCCCCCCTCCTAGTTTAGTTAAATACTGTTCTAGGAGGTCACAGTCGAGGTTGGTTCTGCATACGATCATGCAGCAGTCCATCTTCATTGCGTCAGCCACCGCAACCGCCACCTACACAAAACCCTAAACCCTAAACCCTAAACCCTAAACCCTAAACCCTAAACCCTAGACAGAGAAGGGTGAAGGGTCAGGGATGAGACGGGGGGTATACTGAAGAGAAGGGTTTGAGATTTTTAGCGGTAAACCCTAAACTGTATATATTAAGGGTTTTCTAGGGTTTAGGGTTTAGGGTTTAGGGTTTAGGGTTTAGGGTTTAGGGTTTAGGACTTGGGGTTTGAGTAGTTTCGTTCTGCAGGATAGAAAGTCAGCGCTTTCGTTTCCAACAGCAGCAGCAGCAGCAGCAGCAGTTGCTGCTGTTGCTGCTGCTGCTGCTGCTACCTGCCCCACATGGACCCCGTCTATCTCTGGGGGCCCCACTGCTGCTGTATCAAACGGAAGAGAACACTGCAGCCCCTGGAACACACACACACGCATGCATGCATGCATGCATGCATGTGTGTTTGTGCGTGCACACATGCATGCATGCATGCATGCATGTGTGTTTGTGCGTGCATGCATGCATGCATGCATGCATGCATGTGTGTTTGTGCGTGCATGCATGCATGCATGCATGCATGGGTGTGTGTGTGTGTGTGTATGCATGCATGCTTGCATGCATATGCATGCATGCATGCATGCACTCCTGCATGCATGCATGC